GATTCGGAGTTTGCCCCGAAGGAGTCTCCCCCCTTAAGTAATGACTTCTAGATGTTACTTAATAACTTCTAGGTGAGACAATTACCTTCGTCGAATTATCTTTTTAGATTTCAAAATTCTTGAAAATGGTGGTGTTAAAGCAATGTTCGCAGTGTATGATTTTTTCGCATAGAAATGTAAAACATCCAATTGTATTGTAATATTCTTTGCAAATAAAAATTTACTTATAACATTACATTGTTATTGCTTTATTGTATCTTACGTAATTCAAAAGTATATCTTACACAAATTGATTTTGTATTTCAAGAAATAAATATTTCGTTCCAAGAGATATGTTCTTACTTATGCTACTTAATAAGAGAACTAAATTTCTGTATAATTATCTATTTATAAAATGATCTAGGAAAAATCTTATTTACATAATAGTTCTCCATAATATTGACTTTATAAAAATTGCAGTCTATATGCAAAAATGGCATGACATGTTCACAGTGTTACACTGAATGCCAGTTTAAGTAACCGCATAGCCTACTATTTGTTTTAGTGTGATACTGGAAGCATAAATTTTGTACCAACAAAGCCTTCCTACACAGGCAAACACATTTCAATTTACACTACTATTTTTTATCAGTATACAGTGTATCTTACTTTTTGTCGACTTGTATATCTGTCAGTCGCATCTATTCTTTCATTGTTACAATCTACCTCATGTATATATTAACTGCCAATAGTGAGGAGGATTGTTTATGCAAAGATAATGTTCCAGTAAGCATCTCTTTCGTATCCAATGAATGGAGCGAAGAGTGGAAAGATAAAAGGGCAAAAGTCAGAATATAGTTTTCATTTATTTTAAACAGCGTATTGTTTCAATGCTAGGTAAATGTATGTATTTTGTAGTTGCAATAATATCTTCTAGAAGTTTTCAGAATTATAAAATAATATAAATTTATATATCATATAATGACATGAAATGTAATAAAAGATACAATATAATTTAAATTAATTGTAATTATAACATAAATGAAAAAAGTTTTGAAAAAAGATGATGGTAAGTTTATTTTTTAAAATTATCTTATAACTCTGTTGGAATACTTGTAACCCTTGTAACTTGTATGGAATTTTGTTAATAATTAAATTAAAATTATGTTGAGGACTACAAATTATGTGTATAATAAACATTCTCTGTTTAAGTAATAACACTATGCAATGTTAACTTTGAAATTAATGTAAAAAATTGTATGTGTTACCTGTCCTATGAAAAATTCCTCCAAGATACAACTGTTTCTGTACGTATAAGATTGGGTTGATTGATTATGCAGATTGAATGGTTGTGAATATTCATCGAAGATGAATAGTCAGCAAGAGTTTTGCGATATTATAATGTTAATTTGTTTACATTATGTATCTTCTATAATACCACTTTTTTAATATTATTTAATATTATAATTTATATGTACCCTATAATATGAATATTTTAAAACCGAAATGAAATAAAAGCGGTTGTTTATATCGGTATTAAAATAAAAATCTTCAGAATTAAAGGAAAAATTCCGCCAATATTATCATTTGTATCATAATTAATAGAAAAAAGCAAGTTCCTGGTAACCGTTTAAAACCATTTTAAAACCATTTTAAATCCTATTTATATCACTTCATCCTTCAGAATTTTAGCAACATCGTCACTGCTGATCTTGACTTATTAACGAGATTTATAAAATCACTCTCCATGTATTTCTGAAGATATAAACCAGAATTGTATCGGACGTCACGTCAAAGTACCACAATAGTAGAACGTGGACCAATGAGGAAGTGGACTGCTTAGCGGTGCATTTCCAAACGGGTACACCATTGTATTAAGGCGGAAAATCGTCATTGAGAAAAGGGCGGTTTTTGTGGCGCGTGAACAGAAAGCGCAAGCGCGCACAGCGTGGATAGTAACGGTCTGTCGTTTCTGCGACTGTAGTCCTGCGGAGGATCATTGAAGGAGGCATTGCTGCAGTAACGAGAGTTAAGCTTCTAGTCGTTTGTTTTATACTCGTGCTGTGAATCATCTAACGCAAGTGCAAAAATGAGTTACTTGCTGGAGGAGGAGGAGGACATCGATGAGTGAGTGTCACTATCATTTCGATATCATATTTTATACGTTAAGTTCTGACATCATAATACTCACCCCCTGACGCGAAAAAGGGCTTGGCCACCCCTCAGTCTCGTTTCATGAGATGACACCGATTTCTATGCGAGCGTTTCAATTAAATCCATCATCATAATTGACAAGTATGTCAAGTTTGTGTGGTCGAAAGTTTTTACATCGATGTTACGAGCCGTTTGCATGAAATTGTCAGCTACGTGTAGAAGCCACAAGTGCATGTGATTCTGACGTGCGGAACTTCTTGGAACATTGATTTAAGAAATACACGAATAACACGGCCCGTACGTCTTACAAGGCATGTCGCTTTTGTGCGTGCTCATTTGTACAAGAGATGCCATACATATTACCATTTTTGGAGATATAATATGTGTGATTTTAAATAATACTGTATTTTTGTAGCATTAATAGAATTTGAAGGTTCTTTCGGTTTACGGTTTCATTGGTTCAAGGTACGGTTCAAGTATTAAATATTCTATGCTCAATGCTTTTAATATTTGTATTTAGACTACATTCAGATAAATTTTTATAGAAATAATATAAACAAAAGTGCAATAGAAAAATATTAACTATCAATTTTACATTTTCGTCTAAATGGGTGTGTCAGTCTTTTATCGAGGAACATTTGAATTCAGGTTAATATTAACTTTGCTACTGGTTATCGGTATACCACGGATTTTATGAATTCACAGAAAGAAGGAAAAAATGAACTCAATACGATGAAAAGTTTCCGAGATAAATATTCATAACTACCTAGACCTTCACGAAAATAGGCAAAAATTTCAAACTTTTATTATTAGCATATATTGTTACAAAATGCCCTGACATTGAGAGCAGAAAGTGATACATTTTGGCGTGCAATAACCCATGTGCTACTAAAAATAAATTTTCCAGTTACTTTTAAATTAGAAATAAGTTATTCTAATCCTACATTCTATATATTTAATAGCAGCTGTTATTACACTCTGGTAGCAGAGTTTCCTGCAGCAATGTATGCGTTCATTTTTTTTATAACTTTCGTTTTTCAATATTATACCTTTTTTAATCTTCTCGACAGCTTTGTATACAATAACCAAAGATCCAACATTTAGTATGTACCACTAAGACACAGAATAAGGGGATCATAAAGTCACAAACCCGTACCTGAAACTTAACTGTGCACATTAAAATTCTTTTTATTTAAAGGGTCACGCCTCCCCTGAGGTTTCAAAAATTGGTTTATTTCTTTTTGTTTAAATCGTTACTTTTTAGTCATAGAAATATCATAGAAATAGCTTTAGAGCAAAATTTCTACGCGGTTATGCTGTTAGAGCTGATTTAGTGAAGCGTCTCGTCGCACCACCGAGCGTAAGTAAAGAATTTTTAAAACCGATTTACTACGTAACTGTTGCAGTTTTTATCCGATTCACTTGAAACATTCACTGAATACGTTTAAATACATATGTTAATTATTAATTCATTATTAAACATATTTAATACAAACTCTTACTGCAATTAACATTTTGATACAGTAAATTCTAGGGCAAAAATGCTAATTGTGAGCGGAGATTGCCTCGGTTTGGAAATTTTTAGTATTTCCTCGAAACTCCTCTAGACGCGCTCCGGTTCGGTTCTCGGTTCTTTCGCGCCAATTTTCAAGTTTCGGACAGAAGAAACATGGCGCAAATTGCGTCTTCCCAGTAAAAGGTGCATTTTTAGAGTCATTACAGCTAAATCTTTTACAACTTTTTAACAGACCACTGACAATAGCAATATAATTTTTTGCTCTCTGTTCGCCGAGAAAATTTCCTGTGATTGTTTAACTACTTTTATCAAATTATTCAATTGATCGGTAAACTTTTTATCTCTCATCAAATCTTTGACTAAGCGACCAAGAAATATGCCTTCTTTTATTTTCGCGTCAAATATGCGTGGAAATTTTGTAATTTGTTTACGTAAACATTTATTCTGTAGTTAAAACAAGAAATTAAAAAATGTTTACAATTAAGAAACAGTTAGAATTTTCGTCAATCGAAATTGATTAAAACGTTAAGTATAATTGCGTGACTAGTATCCAAGAATACATGAAGAAACCAAACGTTATATGTACATATGGCGAGCGTGGTGCCCATTGGATGTTACTATGGATCTCCATTGTGCGTAGCTACGACTGAGCAATGGGCGCGTGGTGGCAAAACACCGTGCGCACATTGCCGACGGGTATTTTCCCGATCTGTTCAAATTAAAAACCGTTCCGACACTTTTTCTGAATAGTGTCTGCTTCAGAAATATTCTACTGAATCCGGTACTGCGTCTCAAATTCGTGGTAAGAACTTCTCTAAAGAATGCAAAAATATTGCATAGAAAGTACGGACTTCGGCTCTTTTTTTAAACTTTCACGGCCATTAACAACCATTCGGAATTACAAAATTTAATAACTGTATACACCGATGTATTCAGGAATTTTTATTAAAGTTGCATTGGAGTCAAGACATTCATGAGTGAGCCATACCAATAAAAGGTATTTTTTTTATATCAGCAATTTTCCAAGAAATCTCACGTTAAAATTCGCATGACTGTATACTACTGTTGCGCCAGGTGCACAGTGCTCTACAAAATATACAGTACACGGTTATGTGTGTGCGTTGGAGAACCAACTGTTTGGCAGGCAACCGACAGTGGAGGGGTCCTCTGACACGATCTGGGGCGGGGGGGAGGGAACGTATAAAGATCCCACGATGCATCGCGACTTCTATTCGGGGACCGGCATCGATCGCCATCGGTACTGTTTTCTGTGATTCAGCCGCGAAAGGTAATCGTTCGTTTGTACTCTGGTACATACTTGCTTTGTCATAGCGACCTTTGAATACCTCAAGTTCACGTTACTCGAAAGTTGTTTTACTGCGGTAAAGGGGAAGAGAAAGACTCCTTCGATTACCGATATGCCTACTTGCACGTGCGAAAAACGTCTTCCGGGTGAGGAAAGCCACGTATGCCAAATCAAGCCCCCCGTCGAGGATAATGAATTGGAAGGGGATACTAAACAATACGATAGCGCAGTTAGGTATGCATGATTTGTTTGAAATTTTGTTTCTTTCAAAGTAGAGAGAATATTGTCACCATACGAATATTTCTGGTCATGCTAGAATAAGCGTGATAGAACTTGTATTATAAAACCTCGATTAACATTAAAATCTTGAAAAGTAAATGTAATAAAAAACCAACTCTTTTTACACATAAACTATTAATTTTTAAGATAACAGAATTTCTATATTGTAGAAATTTCATTCTTGTTAATAAAGAGTAGAACGCAAGTTTCGTGTGTTTAATGTAATAATTGTAGTAATCTCTAAAATTTTTTTATTAAAGTAAAAAAACACGGACTTACGTTTATTGATAGACTAAACATAGATAGATAGGCATACTATTCGCGGAAGTACTCATTTATCATTATGGATTTACTAAAATCATTACCGGCATCCTAATTTTATTGCTTATATATTTTGTTGTATTATATATCTGTAAAGTTTGTCTATGAAAATTGGAGTATTAGATATTAACTTTAAATATATGTAAATTAGTAAAATCAGGTGGTAAATTCAATATTATTTCAGTTCAAGTATTTATAGCAAAATACTTTTTGGTTAGAACACTGTGGTTATATTTTCATTTGGTTAGTGCATAAAAAATATATTTCGATATAATTTCTGGGGGTTATTAAACTGACATTCTACTCTTCTAAAAATCAGAAATTTGTGTAAACATCCAAAGTCTCCTTACAATTAACCTTTAGATGTTAATTCAAACACATGTGCATGGTTATTGGCTAATTACAAAATTTATATTCGGAAAAAACTGTATGTTCTCTACGTGAAAGGTTTTTGCAAGTTAAACATAATTCGTTAAACTGCATAACAGTCTTTACTACATTACCGTTCGTATATCTAAATGTACTATAAGCAACATATTTAGTTTAGACTTAGATTATACTTCCGATAAGAAATTGTAAGACTGCCATAAGAGCTGTGTTGAAAACTCGATTTTTGACAAGCTTTTTCTTAGTTATTTGATCGACGACCGAGTCTCAAACTTTTTTTTTCTCTGTATTTCGTTCTAATAAACAATCTGTATGAATTTTATTTAATTATCTAGTCTTTATAGACGCGAACTCCGGACCTCGGCGAGTCGAGACGTTATCTGATATCAAGCCTCCGTTGACCGGCGCTCGGATTACAATGTAAACAGACAGAAGGAATCAGGCATGAATAAAAATTTAACACGTTCACGTCGGGGCCGATTTTCATGTTTTTCGCTGTGAGGCGGCGCTCGAATTCATGCTGCGCTTCATCTGGCGGCCCACGATTGTTGCTTGTTCAGACCTGTATACGTAATTGTATACCTGTATACCTGTATACCCGATGGCTCAGTATCGTGTGACCCACCGGTGATGCACGCCGGCAGATGGGACAGTCGAGCGTGACCCACCGGTGATGCACGCCGGCGTGAACGTGTTAAACTTTTACTCTTTTCAATGGACGTTCTAAAAAATGTTATGAATAAATTTAGGAGATTCTCCCGATGAAAATAAGTCCAAACACAACAGAATTGGGACTATTTGCAGTATTATATATGTAGTTCGATTCGCAACAGTAAGGGGTAACGTTGGCTACCAATCGCAGCGGGTAGCTATCGCTAAAGCGAAAGCTCGGCCGGCAGACTCGCGCTATGATCGGGGTTTTTCGTTAATATCTCGTTAACAAAGTCTCGGATAACATTTTTGCTAAAGAAAAACTTGTTTCAAATCACCTCACGAGTCTCCCGTTTGCAGGTCCTCCAGTATTTTTGTTACACCCTGTATATAAATAACACCAGCCGCTTGCAGTCGACCGACGGAGGATATTGAATAGTATGCATGCTTGACATATAATATTTAAATTTTGTTTACTCGAGAACGAAGTTATTAATCATATGAAAAAAGTATCACTGTACGTACATCTCTGATTTATTTTTGTACGAAGTGTTCTTGTCTGTTATTAAATGTTAGATAATGCCTAATATTACGCAACGGAAAAATATAGTAGTATCGTAATTTTAAGCGAACTCGGAGTTAGTTTTAAAAGAACGTAGCTGTACGAACAGGAAGAGGGTAATAATACAAAAACGGGGGTTGTCGAAGACGAAAGGTGACGCAAAGTTGTAGTAGGTATAAAGGAGAGCGACGCAGGGATTTTTCCTTAAAATAGGAATCGTTGGGGGATAGATCGTTGTTGCCATACTAGTCATTTATTGGTAGTTATAGTTGTTGAGAATAGAAGTCCCTATGTAAAGTCAAAGCACACTATTCTTCTTTGTCTTTTATATTGTATGTGCGTTCTGCGGTTTTTCCGGTGTGTCGTTGTAGCAATTGGCACTGTTCTGTCTCTCCAAGTGCACCAGCCCGCTCGTTTGTAAAGTATATTTGAAAATATATGTTTAACCATTCGAAGGAAATGTGGACTATTTCATTAGGCAAACCCTGAGTAAGACATACAAAGTAATCAAAGAACAATAGTCATAGTTGTATCTAATTTAATTGCCATTGTTTCAGTATAATTAAACAGGGTGATTCTGTCGCTGCACAAATCAAAGACTGTGCCGTTCTAAAAAAACGCCACGTCAGTATGTCTGATCTGTCGATCGGTCCTCATTGTTGTTGTTGACGCTCCGGGGTCACACACACCAGCGCTGACACGGCTGATCTTTAGAGTGGCACGTCCTTTGATTTGCGCAGCGAGAGATTCACTCTGCAGTTCTACCGGGTGAATCGCTCGCTGCTAGGGTTCAGAGGCAAGCCGCCTGCTTTGTCGTTTAACGATCATAAACGTGTAACGGTAGCTTATTAAGGAGTTATGCCTACCTGTGATCTCGGAAAAAGGCATGTTTTTTCGGAATTTATTTTTAAAAAACTTGAAGACTTTTTTTAAACATACGTCATTGTATTCGAAAGTGTACATTTTAAAGCGCTTATAGTAATGTCTTCAATGTAAAATATGAATAAATAGGGGAAATATCAACGATCTCCCGGCAGCGTTTTTATTTTAGGCGTTTTGCAGTGATCACTGTAACTTCGAGTTCATTTATCTGAAATAAAAAATCCGAGCTTTAGTTAATATATTAAATTATCTAGTGCCCGATCGTTCATTATCCTGAAAAATTAATTTTCCATAAAATGGCGGCTGTTCAAAATCGAAGTATCGATTTCCGCCAAAAAAATCGTTCATTTTTGATCTATAAAATAAAAACTACGCAATGAAATACAGTCCATCAAAGCTGAATCAGTTTCGGTGCAGCGGTTCTCGTGATATTTTGGTCACCGATTTTGAAAATGTGGTTCGGAAAAAAATACTTTTAAAATTTCAAGTCAGGTTTATAAACGAATCAGTGCAAATTTTTTATACATGGTTATTCTTAGTATTACGGCTTCATATAGCTTTGTGTATTTACTAACACAATCATAAATTGCATTGGGGCACAGTATTCATGACCCACGCGCCCCTAGAAAGGGATTCTACCATTTTATATCTACTCCGAAACTTCCAAAGCCGTATACTTTAAACGGGCGTAACTCCGCCAATTTTGGTCGGATCAACTTCAAACCTTCATACAATGTTTCTAAACTAATGTACTGTAAGAAAATATTAAAACCCAAAAATCGATTTTTTCAAAATTTATAGGCAGGCATAACCCCTTAAGTTTATCCCTGATGAGCAGCCTATGTGTGTGACAGAGACAGAGCGAGAACCGACACTCTCTCTGTCTCCGTCACACACATAGACTGCTCAGCAGGAGTAGCTAGCAATTCTTAAATGACAAAGCAGGCGGCTTGCCTCTCGACCCTAGAAGCGGGTGATTCACCCTGTGTATCACCTAGTCTTAAATAATTTTTATTAAGTCTAATTTCACGTAGAGCAGTCCTTTTTGAGCCTTTCCATTCTCGGTTTCATTGATTTTTCATTATTTTGGCAAAATGAATTTGGGCATCTTCGTAAGGGGTATCGATATTTGGAACATTCTTGAAAAGTGCTTTTAATTTTTGAGGATGTTTAGACGGGTGTTTTTTAAGTAAGCATAGTTCTATTTCCAGTTGGCTGTGTTCTATTACCTTAATTTTATTCTGAATAGCAATTATTATGGTGTTTTTAGTATGGGGGTTCTTCATTTCTCCTACGATTGGATTAAACCTTGGCTTGCCTTTCGACCCTAGCAGCGAACGATTCACCCTATATATCACTTGTTACAATAAATATATTATTTAAATCTAATCCCACATTATTATTACCAAATTCCTTTTGCATAGGAGCATATCGTCAGTATCACATATATTGTATAACATTTCAGAAAGAATCGATAACATATCATAATACTTTATCTTATATCTCGGCCCAATGGAAAATCCTTAACCCGAGCAATAATTTACGTCACACCGTAAACTATGCATTTTTAATCCAGATAAGAGATACAGACCTGTATCAATGTCCACACTGATCCCATTTACTTGGCGATATGATTGTTTTTAATACATAGCAGCTTTTTAAGTGGGAGAGTCTTCGCATTTTTACAAAAAAATATGTGTTTGAAGATGCCGTTGGATTATCTTTTAAATATTGTGTATCTTATCAGGAATTAAAAGATAGAACACCGTTTCTTATTGTTTTTGAACGAGAACACATAGCACATCTGTCTAATGTTGTATTTTTATTCGCTAGCTACATATAGGATGGTCAATATGGAGGTATCTGGTGACCATCCTTATTACATCTGGACCAACTCAATTTTTTTATGCTTTTTTCTAATGTTGTTAGGGTATGGACCGTTTGGAAGTATTCGAAAATAATTTTTTTAATAGTAGGACTAAAGATGTGGAAGAATTAAAGTCATTTTAGCTGCTGAATCACATTTAAAAATATATGAAAATTTTCTTTTGTATTTAATATTTTTTGTACTTAGTTATATTAAGAAAAAATTCAGTCCTCCAGTGTTTATATTTACTTTGCAGATAAGCACTTGCAACGCAGTACGTTTTCAAACGATAACTTCCTTTCAGAAAACATGGATTGTTCAAAGAAGCTTCTGATTGCATTCGAAGAATGTGACATCAATCGATTACTAATCGTTTATGTTTGGAATTGTTTGTTTCTCGTTTCACTGTGGCATACTTCGCTATCGGAATATTAACACAAACGGAATTTTCTGTTGGATAATCAGGCCTCTTCAAGCTCACCTTAAATTCAAAGTTTAATATCGTGAAAAGTATGAATTAGTCACTGCTGGAATCCTCTTCTCCTCATCAAATAACCACCACGTGGATTATTATCTAAATCCCTATCATAAATCCTTCGATAGCTAAATAACGCTAGGCAAACCGCCTTTAATTCCATTCTAGATACGTTGACTTTAACACAAATGTAAGAGGAGAGCTCAGAGAAGAACAGAATTGGAAACAGCCAGAGAATATATTCCTTGCCAAGACGTTGCCGTCACACTGGTCGATTTGTATCTGTTCCTTAAAACCTTCCGCATCGCGCGCCTAGAACAGTCCTCGGTCCCCGGGACTGTTTATGAAATGGTGTATGGAAGGGGTGGGGGTGTAAATGCCAGATGCCGCCACCAAAGTAGCCTTCGGCTCGAACCTCGGTCTTCCCTTGATGGGACCGTTTTCCGACGAATAAAAACTTAATAATAATAAAAACTTCAGTACCAGCAATTACAGCTTCCTGCAAATGCATTACACAAAAATGAATTATTCGATTCTTCGATACTAATTGTAACTGTTTTTCAAGCGATTAAGCTATAAATGAAATTTATCTTTTTTATCGACTTCTTTAATCGTTAGAGATCGATTATAAGTATCGATAAATAACAATAACAACATTTTTGTTCACGATAAAGATATATTTTATTATTATATGACAAACATAGACCATATTACGCGGTATGTTCAAAAAGTTCCAAGAATGGTGTAATAAAAAATTGAATTCTGTTGATTAAGGAATTGTTATTGTTCAGTTTTCTACATACATACCTTATGTAGCTACACACCCAGTACAACGTTTATAGAGTGTTTTGAAAGCCTTGGAGAATTCCTCTAGTGTTACTCTGTTTAATTGCTCGATTACTGCCTGTTTTATTGCATTCACCTCTTCATAATAGGTCCCTAACATTGGCAATTTGATTTTCGGGAATAAGAAAAAGTCGGCAGGTGACAAATCTGGCGAATACGGTGGATAGTTAATAACAGTTACGCTTTTTTTTGCCAGAAATTCTGTGACGATGATTGACGAATCTGCGGGTGTGTTGTCGTGGAGCAGAAACCATTCACCCGATCGGTAAAGCTCGGGCCTCACACGACGAATTCTAATATTTAATTCTTCAGTTATTATTTTTATCGTTAAACAACGGTCTCTCGACAACAGAAGACGAACACATTCAACATTCGCCTCGGTGCAACTTGTCGAAGGTAGTCGTTCTCTTTTGTCATCTTCAAGTGACTGAACCACTGAAAAACTAAGCATGACTCAGACAATCATGTCCGTATGCTTTTTGCATCATTCTGTAAGTTTCAATCGCAGTTATTTACTACACTTTTAAAGCAAAATTTAATTGCGGCCCGTTGCTCCATTGTTGTAATCGTGGCAACGTATAAAATCAAGTAACTTTTAACAGTGTAGTACTAATGAACAAATGAACATTAGGAAACGCGAAAATTATAGGGCACTAAGAAAGGTCTAAATTATTTAGTATTATCTCGATTTCAGAGATGGGGCTAATAGTATATCTGTAAAAAAATCAGTCTGGGAACTTTTTGAACGTACCGTGTACAGTGGACTCTAACTATATTGCCATGGTTGGGGCTGTAGGTGAGTAAAACGGCAATGAGTTCAGAGCGCCCTCTATGTTAAGTTCAGTCGTCGTAGCCTCGGCCTCAGCGCCTGCGCAAAAGCTGGATCGTGCTGGTGCGCCGATGTATGCAACGTGGTGGGAGAGCGAATTTGTGTGCGCGAAAGTACGAAAAGGAAGTGCCTCACGTGGCAATATAGTTAGAGTCCACTGTAAATATGTAACGAGTGCAATTCTGTTTATTTTTATTACATCGATCCGTGTTTCATATTTTTCTAGATACAGAGATGGGTCCGTGCGACTTCGAAATCCAAACATCGAACTCATGGATCAGGATATACTATATCATCTCGCCCTCGGCAGTGGTTCCCATGATCTCATCGAAATGTTCGGTGATATCAAGGTAAATGAAATATAGTCGAACTGTGCTTTGCTTTTTCCAGAAAATTTAACTTTGTGCAGTTTTTACAAATGAGGTTTTATTTTTTGGATAGGTTTATAAAAATGTATAAACTCCTCAAACCATTTTTTTACGTACATTCCCAACAGTTTTATGTCTTAATTTATTTGTTTTTATTCGACAATTGTTTTCTTACTAATTTAACATTAATCATAAATTGTTAAATCTACATTTTTTATGCAGTCTTTTTAATGTTTCTTCATTTAAGAAGAATTTATTTAAATGAAGAACTAAACTGTCATTTTTGTATCGAACCTCCCAGAATTAAATAAATGGTCTGTTACTTCAGAAATGTTTTTAAATAGAAATTGAGAGTCTGAAACTGTCCTTAATAAACAATGTCCGCGTTTAATTAAATTTTTCTAAATTTCACATTCAGTAAAGTATAAAACGATTATGTTACAATAATACTTTATTAAGAGAACTTGATGTTTACTTTAACTTTAATACGCATATGGCTACCAACTTAACCTAGAGGACAAATATGTGCGACAAGGCGCACAACGATTGCAGCGCCCCACAAGACCCATAATGTGAGTGCAATATGAAAAACTAAACGTGTGAGAACCCTTATAAATGTTGACAGCTTATCCCAACAGATTAATTATTGACTTTAATTCCGGGATTATAAATACAATTAACTATTAATTTCTGCAACCACTCACGATTCCTGTTTGTACTTAATATTTTTTAATTGTTAAATGTTCATTTTACTCGTTGACACCTTTAATCAGCGTTTGTTGTGATATCTACAGATCTTCTGATAAATATATTAAAATTTATAAGATTAATTGTTGTTGTTTTATATGTTCTTCGCTGTGGAGTGTCATTACCTTAAAATCATGATTGCTGTTTTATAGTACAAATACGTGTCTGTTGCTCGCCTGAATACTTTCTTATACCTAAGTGTGTCCATAAAAATGTATAAAATACAGTATGTTGTAAAGTATGACATACTATCTAACAGCATAAAGCTCATAGCTTTATTGATAGCAGGGCCGTTCCTGGGTTGTTGGCCGCCCACGTGCAAGAATAAAATGGCCGCCCTTATTAATTTAATATTTTTTAATTGAGAATTTGATATGCAGAGTTTATTTTTATATGGATATATACATAGTTTTAACAAGTTATCATGCAAAAAAAATATTCTTTAATGTTTATTTTCATAAGATCAAATAATAGTCCTTAAAAAATAAATAGATTTAAATAAGATGAATATTTTATTTTACATATAAGTACAGGGTGTCGTGGGGTTGCATGCCGCGGCTGGATTCTGCACCTTTGGATTGGTGGAGACTGGGGTGGGCGGGGTGCCACAGGATTGACCTTGGCCGTGAGTTTCAAGGTCCAATTTTTTGTTCATTGCATCGTATTCTGCTCATCGTGGGGATAGAGGGTCTCAAGGGAATCATGGATCGGGGTTCGACCGTTCTATTGAAAAATGATGTTGAGTTTCATTAGTGTTTAAATTGATTTTATTTACATTTATCTATTACTATCTTCTCCATATTTCCTGGTGAAAGCATAATATCCCTGTTGTGTATATAGGTAATAATACACTGGATTAAGGTACACTATAACTACATTTATTCTAAATACATACAAGGGTGGAGCACGTAACTGGAATCACTCCGATTACTGCCTAAGTAATGATTTAGGGACAAGTATTTGAAATAAAAGTTGAATGGTTTCGAGGGGGACATAATTTAATGTCATTAGCTTTATGTTAAATGGATGCGTAGAGCAGATATGAAGGTCAAGAATGTTTTTTTAAATGGAATCATATATTTTTTCTCGCCTTATTCAATTTAGCTCATAATTCGATATAAAAAAGCGTTAACCTGTTCGTATAAAAAAACTATTAATATAGACAATATTTTAACTTTAATTATTCATACTTGCGTATGTGGAACCACTGCGATAAATCCTGAAGTAATAACTTCGGCAAAAATGTCTACAGATGCAATCTGTATGATTCGAATGGGACCAGATTGTGCATTATTCGATTTCTTTTTATCACTAGTATTTTTCGAAATTTCAAGGTCATCTTAAATTTTTTAAACGGAGGACAAATTATTTCTCATAACAAAAGTTATGGAAAATATCAAAACAAATTCAGTGACGTGTATTACGGTGGACATTAAATAATTTTTAAAGAAATTCTACCAATTAATATACCAAAAACTTGTTTTTAGATAATTGATTCTTGGGAAATCTCAACAGTAACATAAACAAAAAATTATTATTATGCAAATGTCTTTTATTCTACATGATGATTTTACATTATATTTATGTTGACACCATAATATGTCAGGGTCAAGGTCATCGGTCATTTTACTCATCAATACTACTAAAGATGTATTGATTGTATAATATACGAATAAAATTCATTGGTTTGATAATCATTTTATTCCTAGTTTATCTTTCCCACACAATACAACGTTACCGCTCGAGTTGTATCTAAATTTATAGAACGTGTTACGAGACTTAACTAACATTTCCTGTGGCTCCCTGATTTCGCATCAGGTTTGTCCTCAATTCGTCCGCGTACCTCACTAACAAACTGATAAACTATATTCCTTGGAAAATGGTAACAAGTAAAAGAAAATTTTCATTTTATCAATGAAAAGTATTTATTACTTATTGCTTTTAATTTTTCTACTATTAGTTATTTTTTCCACTAATTACTACTTCTAATAGCTTTTAACTTTTTGCTTGAATATTATTTCTATCTTTTATTATGTTAGTTTTTACTTATTGATATTTCAAGTACGAATACAATATAATAAAAATATTGTATAATTTCTTACAGTTCGTCTGCATGGGTGGAACACCGAAACGAATGGAAAAATTCGCCCATTACATAATGAAGGAAATAGGCCACAAACTTCCAGCTGGAACGACACTTCTTGATATTAGTCAGTATTCGTACCGATACTCTATGTACAAAGTTGGACCGGTGCTTTCTATCAGTGTAAGTATTATTAAAGAGCAAGATTACTTCTTAAATAGGAAAAAGTAACTTCACTGAAGTTTTTGTTCATGAGCAAAAAAAAAAGGGTGTAGCAGAATAAGGGCGTCAAAAGTGCCCTTCGATCTACAGTGGACTGTAACTATATTGCCACGCGTGACACTTCCCCTTCACGCATACTTTCGAGCACACAAATTCGCTCCCCCACCACGTTGCGTACGCCGGCACACCAGCACGATCTACCTTTTGCGCAGGCGCTGACGTCGAGGCTACGACGATAGAAGTTAGCATGGAAGGGGCTCTGAACTTATTGCCATTTTACTGTCCTACAGCCCCGACCCTGGCAAAGTAGTTAGAGTCCACTGTATTTAACACTAGAACTACCGACAATAAACGCATATTTGCTTTGATCGGTGGATAAACGTGAAAATCTTTTGAAAATTTAGAAATTGACTAATTTCTTCATTTTCATATTGTAATAAAAGGTGCAAAAGACTGAGAAAATGTATTATCCTAACATTTTAATTGTCATTGTAAGAGTGTATTGACAAGTCATTTTGACTTGCTTGGTAGGTCTAGTGTTAAACGAGCGTTGTACTATTTAATATCTCATCCATATCTCGACCAGGAAGGTAGTAATAGAGAAAATTCGGATTACCGATTCTTCCTCAATTTTCCCTATTTAATATGTTACGTCCGTAACAAATTGTTGCGACCATCTTCTGTTCTTGGGGGAAAAAACTAGTTAAGCGGGTTTTTACATCGACAACCCTATGGACAGAGGGTGGAAACAGGTATTTTCAAAAGACTCTCATTAGAGAGCTAGGGACTAGTTTGTGACAATTAGTTATTGAATTACTTTGTTGTATTACCAGTACCTCGCATTGTTTAAACATGTGTTATTAAACGCTAAGTAAAGTTCAGTAAAGGTTTTTGTTTCAAAGAGACAACACAACATGTATTTCTTCCTATATCATCGAAGTCTCTATCCCAAGATAAATTCCTTAAATGGATTGATCAAAACACAAGACAAGTCAATATTTCATTGTCGGAATCCAAAATGAATGAGATTCAAAAATTCTTTAAAAAATCTAATAGACAGTATTTACCGGGGCACGCGTTAAAGAACTTTTTCCGATTTTTTTTATTGAATATCCTAGTTGTGAAAAATCATAAACCCTAAAAAGTGCTGAAGAAAGTGAATTTCTTATTGAAGTTATAGACACACCGTATTTATCTTATCACAGTGACGACATGCTATCATAAGTATTTGTCCTCAGTTTCTTGGAAATGTTTGGGTAGGGTGCGCCGTAGTTTTAAAAATGAAAAACCGATGTTTTGACGTTTTTTCCATGAAAGAGTAACTTTGTAATTTGAATTTTTGTGTTTCCTTTATTATGTATGTTATACGATCTTAAATAAGTCTATATTCTGCAAAACCACATACAAATTAGAGAAAATATAAATAAACTTATTGTTAGTTAACACTGCTCCATCTGTTATATTTGAAAATATTCACGTTATTAAAAAAAAAAACAGTCGTCACCTGGTCAGAAATGTGTTTAATCTTTACTACTCTTAATTGACACGAATAGAATTTTTGGAGATATTCAAAAAATCCGGTACATCTATATTAAAAATGAAAATGAAATATTGCAAAGCTATATCGCGGGTTCGATCTTCGAAACTAATATAATACGTTTTTCGGGAAGAAATGTACGGAATATCGATGTTTTCTGTTCAGCACGGAATGGGCATCCCATCGGTCGGAATTCTTCTCCACGAAGTGATCAAGCTGATGTACCACGCAAAGGTGAAGGATCCCATATTCTTCAGAATCGGTACTTGCGGTGGAATCGGCCTTGAAGGCGGTACTGTTGTAATTTCCGAAGAAGCGGTCGATGGAATGTTGAAGCCTTACTTAGAACTGGTAGGAGATTCTTACTGAACTAATGAAACTTCAAGTTTCTAGCATCTAGGATTGTTATGCAAAATAACATTTTCTAATTATAAGAAATTTATAAAGAGAGGTGAAAATGTAGAAATTTATTTTTTCTCTTAAGTATCTTATTGGGTTCAGACTAAAATGGAAAACTCATTGAATCCGATGAAAGTTTTGTCTTTTGTTGTATTTAATAGAGCCCTATGGACTATAAATGCATAAAATCCGCAGTCTAATAATCACTCATCACTATAAATTTGACTTGCGTTGTAACAGATATAACCCGCGCATACTATTGAAAAAAGTACTAAAATAAGATTAACATTATGGTGAACATTTGCAAAACATTAGACAAAATATTGAAATTCCTTATTCATGAAGAATAATTGGTAATTACAGTACTTTGTACGGAACTATGGGGGAATATTTTTGAAATAATACGGTACCTCCACTAGTAGCCCTTAACATTTAAAAACAAAAGGAATTATTAGGAGAGTCTGTTTTGAAATATGAACACAAAAGTAGAATGCACAAAAATATTGGAGGATCCGGAAATGGGACACTCGTGAAGCGATTTGAAACAAATTTTTCCTTAGAATAAATGTTATCCGAGGCTTTGTTAGCGAGATATTAACAAAAAACTGCAACCGGTCAGAGCGAGTTCTCGCGGTAACGTTGGCTACGAGCTGCGATTGGTAGCCAACGCTACCACGCCGGGAGTTCAGCCGGCGGATTCGCGCTCTGATTGGTCTGGATTTTTCGTTAATATCTCCTTAACGAAGCCTCGGATAACATTTTTGCTAAGGAAAAACTTGTTTCAAATCACCTCACAGGCCTCCCATTTCCGGGTCCTGCAACATTTTTGTTACACCCCGTATAATTTAAACTTTACTCTAGTCTATAGTTTATTTTGTATGATCGTTAATAAATAGATTTCATTAATTTTGTTAGTTGATCATTTTAAGTGATTACTATTTTGAAAAAATGTATTTTCTTTACTCGTGGAGGAAGTTTCTTATGATTCAAGCCAATGTTAGGTATTTTAAATTTAGCTAAAAATATTGAAATAAAACTGCCAGTGAAATAAGTTTATTTTACAGCCTGTAATAGGTAAATTAGTACGAAGGCCTGCCAAGCTGGATCGGCAGTTGGCTCGCGAGCTAAAAGCCCTTGCACATCGTGACGATCCCTACGAGACTGTACTCGGTAAAACGATGTGCACTTACGACTTCTACGAAGGACAGGGCCGGTTGGACGGAGCATTCTGCGAGTTTACAGAAAACGACAAAATGGAATATTTGAACAAGCTCCACAAAGCCGGTGTAGTAAATATAGAGATGGAAAGTCTCTCGTTCGCAGCTCTCACCTATTATGCTGGTATCCAGTCTGCTGTTGTTTGTGTGACGCTAATAGACCGATTTAAGGGCGATCAGGTATGTATTGTACAAATTTTTATCGGTACACTTAGAGTTCGACAATAATTTCAGAAATCTTTCGAATAATCAAATTTTTTAAATCGTATTTATTGATCTCTAGAATGAGGATAGAATTAACTTGTCTCGTCATACTTTTCAGAATTTTTATGAGGATGATCTTCCTTCTGAATCTTTCATTTACTCTGACATTTGCTCGATTTTTTCGAAATTAAGGAATCTTAATTTAAAAACATTTTTAAAAAACATAATAAACATAATTAATTGAAAACAAGCGGTGAAATAAATATTGAAATATCTTGTCCTCTACTTTTTTTTATCTAGGTATTGGCACCGAAGGAAGTTTTGGACGAGTGGCAGATGCGACCACAACAGTTGATCTCGCGTTATATTACTAGATACTTACAACGAAAAGGTCGCCTTTCCCTTGAAGGCCATGGATCGATGTGTGTCAAGAGTCCACGTCGGTTCAAGTTGGTGCAACAGGAATCGGAAAACTACGATTAAGCATCGAACACATTACAGGATCGAAAGGAAAAGCGATTTACCAACACGGATAACAAATATGCACAAGGTTACAGTAAGAGGAAACTGTATGGATTCGTCGGTTTCTACCAACTATTAACCAAGACGGGTATGGTGGTTGCTACAAGGAAACCCAAACGAAAAGTATACAATTTTTTCAGTTTTTCTTCTTCTAAAGGTGCATCTACACTATATAACATAACATGTTATATAGCAAAGTTATAAAACCTGTTTGAAAAACAGAAAGAAAAATGTTATGTAACGTGATGTTATATAACATTTTGCGTATTGTACAGCAAGTTATATATTATCCATGTAGTGTGACGCCATTATTACTTGTTACAGAGTTGTCTGGAAGGTATAGTCTTGTAACAAGTTATAAAAACATGTTGTATAGGAAGGTTATACAACAATTTGTTGTATATCACTGTTTTGCTACATAGTGTAGATGCAGCTTAGAGAACATTTTATTTTTTCGATATTTTACTCTGCAAAAGTATTTCCTACGAAATAATTATTTCTTCCTCAAAAATGAGTTTAATTTATTGTGTGACTTGTAAGCGAGTTAAACAAGTTGCGTACGCAACAATTATCCAAAAGCATTTATGATTAAAATTCAATACCAAGATTATGCTTTACGTAATTGTATGTAAACTTTTAATAATACGTACTTATATGTCGTGATAATATGTGTTAAAGTTCTTTTTAAGTTTCGCGGTAACTGCAAAATGATGCTTTTAGAATCGTTAACCCCATTAGTTTTACCGTGATGATACAGTAAATCAAGTACAAAGCAGGCAGTCTATTATTTTGATTAATAAGTTCATTTAGCGTACAAAAATTTCTACATGTTAAGAAATGTTTAACTTAGTTAATTTAACTGATGTCCCGCGAATGGCTTTTCGTTTATTGATGCGCTACATGTTGGTAATACTTTGACTCTGAAAAGCTTTAAAATACATTGTACGAACTTGGGTCGTTAGTAACTTGAAACTGTTTGTTTCAGTTTGCTTTATACAATATTTTCTCTACTGAAAAGCAAAATGTCGTAAATGTTCGTTATGAAAGGTCTTATAGCATACTGACTATCACGGATAATTTTGTGGTATCGAGAAAAATAATATCATGAAATATGTTATAAAATGCAACATGTTTACTGCTACTTGGGTCACCGGTACCTTACGATACATATCAGAGGCATCAGTTTGATTAATTGAACAATTGCATTCCCCAACTCAGTGTTAAGAACTATAAAAAAATCACATTGTTATTAATAGACGTGGATCATTTGAAAAGTTCTCGGACTGGATGACAACATATAGGGCTACCGATAGATAGTCCATTATTTTACTGTAAAATCTATCACACAAATTACAATCACCAGTAGACAAATTTCCAAACCAAAATTGATACTTGTTAACCTTCAGTACATTCCCATAAATATTACAAATTTGCTTTATTACCAGTGCTGCATTAAATCTCGCAAAAAGATGAAAAGCATGATATAGGATATATGTGATCTTAGGAAGCTACAAAGTCCGGTATTTTATTGCAAAACAATAAAAGTATCTGACAGTTCTGAAAATAATTAACTTACTATGTTGTTTACTAAAAACTGTAAGGACACGCATATTTACTATTGTACGCTTGCCTTAGAACTAACATACAATTACGTATCTAAAAATAATTGATAATTCTTAGATACCCCTAACATATTGCTTTTAAAATATTTCTATTTTTCAATATAATCCTCTTTAATGCCAATCCACTTAGAGCTACTTCCAATATTTCAATATTATAGATCACAGATCTAAACACTTTTCAGAAACTTGTATTCGAATTCGCTTCTGATCAATTGAGCTGATGAAATCATTAATGGTGTATGTAAATTCTTAATAAATTTTATGTTAGTATTATAGGGACATGACCTAATTTAATTCTAGTCTATACATGAATGCTGCATGTCTAACTTCACCAATAATCTCAGTATGAGTTGATATTGAACTGTAATCTAGATGAATGTAATTATCGGGATACATTCACAACTCAATATACTCATACTCAAGTATAATGTCATTCCATTATGGAGTACCTACAGAGTGTAACAAAAATGTTGAAGGACCCGGAAATGGGAGGCCCGTGAGGTGAGTTGAAACAAGATTTTCGTTTGCAAAAATGTTATCCAAGGTTTTGTTAACGAGATATTAACCAAAAACCCCGACGAATCAGAGCGTGAGTCCACCGGCCGAGCTCCCGTGGTAGCGTTGGCTACCAATCGCAGCGCGTAGCCAACGTTACCACGGGAACCCGGTCTGATTGGTCGGGGTTTTTCGTTAATATCTCGTTAACAAAGCCTCGGATAACATTTTTGCTAAGGAAAAATTTGTTTCAAATCACCTCACGAGTCTCTCATTTCCCAGTCCTCCAACGTTTTTGTTACACCCTGTATATCTATTCGGAAAAAAGGAAGGTGCAAGATATTTTTTAATGTTCTAAATAACTCAAAAGCTTATATACTACTTTAGGATACGTTCATGTTGAAGCTGCGATAAACGATCAGAACGGTGATAAGATGAAACCATAGAAATACAATCTACCCAGATAGCACACATACGGCTTAATGACGCCTTAAAGACGCCTCAGACCTAAAATAACCGTAAAATGGGCGTCTTCAAGGCGTCATGTACTATCTGGGTATTGTTTTACAATGGAAGTGTTCATATTGGAGCAGCTAGCAGAGCAACGCTTATTATATGTACATTCACGAGCAAACTCGGCTTCCACTAAGGGAAAAAATAATGTTGGCAAAGGGCCTCCTACCATGCTCGTACCACTTGATATTGGGAATTACTAAAATTTATGCCAAATTAACATCCGATTTAACATTTATTTCAGTACCCGAAATCAATTTACCAAGTGGTGGTAGGTCCTTCTCTTACCCCACTTTTTCGCCTAGTTTAGGCGTTTTTTTAGCCCTTTTTCACCTAGCAGAAGACGAGGAAGAAATATTTCTTTTTGTTCGACGTTATCGCAGCTCCAACATGAACATACCCTTACACCATTAATGCTTTAAAGGGTTCAATTGTTGGGAGACGCGTCACACACGACGTAGAAGTAGTTTTGTTCAAGTAACTGTATATAAAATACTATGTAGTACAGTGAGTTAATGCGTTTAAATAATTCATATAATAAATGAAAATCTTCGATGAACTGAAAATTTCAGAATTACTTGATGTCATCTATATTTCGTTCCGAAAACTTTTCGAATGACCTACGTAATAAAGAACTCATCCCCATTTCTAGTTTCCTATAATTAAGTATTATGATTTAAGTTTGTGATAGTATTTAAAATATAATATGAAAATCGTAAACATCGTCTGCGGCATGGGACATGTTAAGAAATGTTTAGTGTAATATATTTCAGTATTGAGTGCCACTTGAAAAATATAAAGAGTTGTTTAAGCATAAAGGATTTGTAAGATGCGAATGAATTTATTACTCAATGGAATATTCAAGAATGCGACTACCAAAATACATGTTGTAGATCTTTAATGACCAAACGTGGCCACATATCTACTTTCATTATACTTCCGGAAAATGTTATTTCAGATATTGATAACAATTTTATGCAAAAAGCGTTCGTACATTCGTCGACCAAAAAACCTGTAATTTAAAAAGATAGAACTGTCGTGTAAATTTTCAAAATACTTCGTATATTTGGAGCGTTGAAGTTTTAACGATGGATCCATAAATGATTTATTGGTGCTTCGGGGCGCTCACAACGCTATTAATTTTGTAAATCTATTGTCCCATTGAACTGTGTTTCATGGACATATTAAGCACTTATTCTATAACGTTAACTTAATCCATAAGTACCAGTGATTGAGTAGCTATTTAAGAGCACATTCCAAATAAATTAGATAATTGCGTATAATTTCTCTTCAACCTTTATTTGTGTTGTGATTGGGACTTGTGTATGTGTACATTATATCTGTTATAAAACGTATAATCACTTTATATTTATAATTTATCGAAGGTTGGTTTGGGAATTATCAAAAAACCATTATAATATACCTAGATAGAATTTGGTATTTTTTGTTTTTGAATATTCCGCAATATCAGAACACTGTTTCAGTGTGGAGGATGAATTTGGAAAAATAACATAGCGCAATAAGATTAACGAATGTTCTTAGTCCTATCTCAGGATTACAGTTGTTGAAATTTTGCGACTAATATATACATTAATCAGATGAACCGGTTACAATTTCGTCTTCACAAACGAAGCAAAACTGGACTTGATACTCTGTAAGAAACATAAGTAGAGAAGTTAGAGTTGATAATGTTATTAAGCGGTTCTGGGCTTTATTCGTAAGAATTCAATGTTACATAAATATATTTTTAAATCGTATGTTTTTATATATAAAAACAGTTTCTTGGTGAAATGATGTAACTACTCTTGTTGTCGAATGAAAGTAAGATCAGTGTACGATTAACCTGGCGGTCATCGAATAATATAGAAGGCAAATTACCAATGAATGACGCTTAATATTTTTAACAACAAAACAACATCTTACTTTCTTCAAACAAGAGTTTAACATAATGTTCGAATGGTATTGTACAACTTTCAACGATTGCATAAATACATATGTTTACTGTAAACTTTGGTGATATAATTGATTAAAAAACGCGAATATAAAACATTAACATGTTACCAATCTGACGTACTTTATGAAATATTTTAAGTGCGTTCTTAAAACATCGTATTCTGTAAATGTGTTCAATGATACACGTTCATTTAACAGACAAGCCTTAAGTATGACAGAAAATGTTTGAGCAGATGTTCGTTTCATGCTATTGCTATTAACGTTTTAAAAATTATATAAAGTTTCTGTGAAAAAATGGAGTGTTACATGTATTAATCGTGGTATCTAATATCACTTCTAACTATTAATAAATATTGTATTCATACTACTTATTTTTAGACAAACTAATTTATTGTCGCTATTATAAATGACCGTTGGTGAGCAGGACTAGTAGTTTTTGGAAACAGCAAGATTAAAAAGTAGACACCGATTAATTAAGCAAATTTATAAACGATTGTAACTATGAAGAAGATTATACAAATCCAGCAATATTATCTGTTAATAAGTAATTATCGCAATAAAAAATTGC